ATGCCAGTCATGCCTTCTGTCTGTACCTGACTAATATTATGGATGCTAGATGCAGTGGCTCACGCCTGTAATCCCAGCACTTTGGGAGGCCACGGCAGGAGGATCACTTGAGGCCAGGAGTTCGAGACCAGCCTGGAAACACAGGGAGACCCCCGTCTCTACAAATAATTTTTTAAAAAATTAGCCAGGCGTGATGGTGTGCACCTGTGGTCCCAGCTACTCAGGAGGCAGAGACAGGAGGACTGCCTGAGCCTGAGAAGTCAAGGCTGCAGTGAGCTGTGATCAGCCTGGGTGACATGAGTGAGACCTTGCCTCAAAAAAATAAAAAGTAAAATAAAATATATGGAGACATAGCAGCTGGTCATAAAACTGCAAGAGATGCAATCAGCAAGCAGGCCCCCATTCACTCAGTCTACCTGCTCCTCCCTCCCGACCTTGTTTAAGTAGCCATACGGACTGCTTCCAGCTAAAATACATTAATACATTAACTAAGCAGTCTATTTTCTCTTCTCCCAGCAATATTACAACATATTTTCTTAAAAAAAAAAATTACAACTTTTTTTTTTTTTTGAGACGGAGTCTCGCACTGTCGTCCAGGCTGGAGTGCGATGGCGCGATCTCGGCTCACTGCAAGCTCCGCCTCCCGGGTTCAAGTGATTCTCCTGCCTCAGCCTCCTGAGTAGCTGGGATTACAGGTATGCGCCACTACATCCGGCTAATTTTTTTGCATTTTCAGTAAAGACAGGGTTTCACCATTGTTGGTCAGGCTGGTCTCAAACTCCTGACCTTGTGATCTGCCCGCCTTGGCCTCCCAAAGTGCTGGGATTATAGGCGTAAGCCACTGTGCCTGGCCTCAATTTTTATTTTAGAGTTAGGGGGATACAAGTGTAGGTTTATTACATGGGTATATTGTGTGATGCTGAGGTTTGGGGTACGGATGATCCTGTCACTTAGGTGGTGAGCACAGTACCCAATAGGTAGTTTTTCAGCCCCCAGTCCCTACCTACCTCCCTTCCCTCTCTGGGAGTCCCCAGTGTCTATTGTTCCATCTTTATGTCCTTTATAACAGATTTTCAAATGCTATTGATATTTTACTCAATATTTGGGTTGTGGAGGAATTTTATAATTTATTTACATTACATAAATCCAATGATAAGAAAGTAATTGAAAGAAGAGACCACGACGTGAAAGACTGAGGAATGTGGGCCTGAACTCCACATGTCAGGGTCACCCTAAGAAAGTCTCTAAGAGTCTCTGAGAAAGTTTTCTCTGGGTCTGAAAACAATTAGGGAATATCTCAGCTGTGGAGGCACTGAAGTGAAATTGAGTTAAAAATTCAAGTTTTATTAAATTGCTTTAGACTTGTTCATTTGATTATTTTAACATAGGGAGGATGAGTCAGCTTGATTATGTGACAAACACTGTGCTAAGCATTTCATATGTATGTTAACTCATTTAATTTTTACAACAGCTGTATGAAGTAGATATGACTATTCCCAGTTAATGATAGGGAAACTAGCTAGTAAATGTCAGAGTCAAATTTCAAAACCAACCAGATCTGTATGACCTTAGAGTCTTTTAAAAACTCTTTGCAAGATTGCTACATGGAGGTGAGTTTAAGCTGTCTACATTACACAGGATGATACATACTTAATGCCAAGATACGTCCTCACCACATCTGTGTTACATTTTAAGTTTTTACTTTTAGTGAGTAGAAACAGGCTATATAATTCTGCCTATTGTGTGCATGAATGGATACACACACAGATAGCTTTCATAAGTGCCTTTCTATTTTCTTTTTAAATATGTTCTGTGAAAGGACAAAAGAAGGGCATTTTAGAAAGCATGGCATAGTTAATGACTTGGGTGCAGAGGGCTGTTGCTGTCAATAGAGCAGAGAGCAGGGATGCTGAGTTGAGCAGTCATGAATGGAAATGAGAGGATGAGCCATTAGCAGGAAGTCATAAACCCATTATTAGAAGTTTCATGTCATTGAAGGCAGCCAAATGCTTCGCAATTCTAAGGACTATGCATGGCCACCTAAGGAGGATGCGTCTGCTGCTGTGATGTATCAGACAGGGTCCAGTCGGGAGACAGAAACCACATGGTCATCTGAACAGGGAAGATTTTAAATAAATAATCATGCCCCATAACAGAGGATTAGACTCAGAAAGGATTGGCTAGTTATCAGGATCTGAGATTTGCTTTTGCCCTACTGGAGCTAATAAGCTGGACTGTTATGGTTTCATGGATGCTGGCAGAAGACATCCAGGGGTTGAAGAAAAAGGATTTTATTACTGAAGTCACAGAAAGCAGTAGGAATATCGTGTTGGGTTCACTTCCCTGTGCCCTTCAATTTCCCCAGGAACAAGACAGAGGATTCCAGGTGGGAATCCACGGAGCTTGGGAACTTCATTGCTTTTATAGTAAGTGGTAGGCTCTCCTGCTCTTTGTCCTCGAGATTTCTCGCTGCAAACACAACTCTGAGAAATGGCCCAGGTAAACAGTAGTGGGCGGGGACGCTCAGAACCCGCAGCAGATTGCCTCTCCCCTTCCTTCTGCAATGTCTCCAGCACCCTCTACTGACAAAATTTAGTACCGCGCAGGCTGGCGAAGGAGAAAAGGGCTCGTGTCCACTGAACCCAGGAGGTAGAGGTGGCAGTGAGCAGAGATCATGTCATTGCACTCCAGCCTGGGTGACAGAGAAAGACTTAGTAAAAAAAAAAAAAAAATATATATATATATATATATATAAAATTAAGGAAGGGAAATGATTTTTAAAAATAAACTTTAAATTACTTAAATACTATCTATGTTTTGAGTAGACTTTTTTTCATGTCTTTTAGCTACCTTAGCTCTGAGAACATAGTGGCGATCACACACACACACACACACACACACACACACACGTGTTAGAATGAATTGAATCACTGTCCCTTTTCTTCCCTGTTTTTGGACCATATCATAATTCAGCGGTGTCTGGTTCTGCTGATAAACATATATGCCAGTTTGTTTTTTGAGACGGAATTTTGCTCTTGTAGCCCAGGCTGGAGTGCAATGGCTGATCTCAGCTCACTGTAACCTCGGCCCCCAAGGTTCAAGCGATTCTCCTGTCTCAGCCTCCCAAGTAGCTGGGATTACAGGCGCCCACCACCACGTACAGCTCATTTTTGTATTTTTAGTAGAGAGGGGGTTTCACCACCTTGCCCAGGCTGGTCTCGAACTCCTGACCTCAGGTGATCTGCCTGCCTTGGCCTCCCAAAGTGCTGGGATTACAGGCGTGAGCCACCATACCTGGCCCCTTCCTTCATAATTCAATCATAAAGCTATTAGGTAGATTATAGGAAGGATGGCATCCACAGTGGTGTCGAGAGGACTCACAGTGACCCAATGTGGGATACTGGAGTACAAGTGGGGTGAGGAGCGTGGGCTACAGGGGGGTGGCCTGGCACAGGGTCTCAGACCCCCATCAGAGTAAGGACAGCATCCACGCAGCACGGCAGCCTGGCCCAGACTGTCAGAGCCTGAGCAGGATGAGAGAGATATCCACACCTGAGAACAGCCCAGCACCTGGGGGATTGGAGCCTGGGCATGATGGGGAAGGTGCCTGTCCAGGGGATAGCCTGCGGTGGCGAGTGGGCCAGGGTCCAGGAGGGAGAGGACAGCACCCCTGTGCATGTGTGGGCTTTCAGAGCCCAAGCGGTGCGAGGAGGCCATCCGCGAGGGAGAACAGCCTGGAAAGGGGAGTGAGAGCCCAAGCAGGAAAACGTGGGCCTCTGGGCCGGGGTGGGTGTGGTAGCAAAATTTGGAGATTGTTTCCATAGAAGATTGATCAAACTAGTAATTACCTTAAGGAAAATGAAAGACAAGGTTTTCACTGTTGGAGAAGGAAGTGACAAATACAGAAGAGGAAAAAACAAGGATGATCCCTATGGCATTGAATTGGAATTCGGCATATTGTTGTAAACTTGTGGTTTTCAAGATAGAGACAGATAATAGATAAATACACATGCAAATGTGTGTGTGTGTGTGTGTGTGTGTGTGTGTAGAAAGATAGGTATATAGACCAACAGATATTCCCTATATATATATAAAATTAAGGAAGGGAAATGATTTTTAAAAATAAACTTTAAATTACTTAAATACTATCTATGTTTTGAGTAGACTTTTTTTCATGTCTTTTAGCTACCTTAGCTCTGAGAACATAGTGGCGATCACACACACACACACACACACACACACACAC